TCCCAGGCTGCCGGCGGGGTTGGGAAGAGTAACTTTTTTTTTTCTGAACTTTTTTTTCCCGTAGGAAGTACCTACGACAGATCAATTACAGTTGATGGAGAAGAAGCATCTCTCGTGGTGTTTGATATATGGGAGCAGGTACTTACAGATTTCAGATATTTTTTCTTTATGGCTTGGTCAGTGGTTCAGTCTTAAAAAAAAGTCGAAATGGAACAACTATGTCTGCGTATTTCTTCGATCAGATCAGTAACATTAAAAAACTAGAATTCACACTGCCTTTGTTCTCTCCTGCAATTAATTTCTCATAGCTAGGCAGGCAATTTAAAAACCTGAATAGGGCTGGAGTGTGAATCCCTTAATGCTTTGAATAAGCAGCAGCTTACATGAGCAGCCCAGGGCATTACTGTAAAATTAGAGATTCACAATCTGATCAGTGCAGACCTGATATTATTTCTGGAAACAAGAAAATTTTGTTTTGTAGTATATCTTAAATAACAAGAAAAAGGGAGGTTGGCTTACTTTTACTGACTCTTTATAATAAAGCTAAGAAAAATATCTTTAAGGTGCTTACAATAATTAAATCATTAATCAGCGTTGAATAGATTTTTCAGTGCAATAAAACTATTTCTTGCCTTTTGTTCTAGGATGACAGCCAATGGCTTCAGAACCACTGTATGAAAATGGGAGATGCCTATATTATCGTATATTCAGTGACAGACAAAGTTAGTTTTGAAAAGGCCTCTGAGCTAAGAATCCAGCTAAGAAGAGCAAGGCAAACAGAAGACATTCCTATTATTCTTGTGGGCAATAAAAGCGACCTGGTCAGGTCCCGGGAAGTCTCAGTTGATGGTAAGAGACACTATTCATTTATACAGTAATGTCTAAATTAGTAGCAAAGGCTATGGAGGCTCATGGCCAACAGAAATAGTCTGGTTTTGATGTAGAAAAATATGTGATTCGAGGCACACTGAAGAAATCAAGCCAGCTGGTTCATTCTGAGGGACTTGGTACCACAGAAAACAGCAGAGATAGTGGGGGGGAAGATTTGTGACTGCGCAGAGCAATGCTCTAAACTGCAGTACAAGAGGAAGAAATGTGTCAGAGCTGCAGCTTTAGCATACTGTTTTGTGTAGGATTCATTTTTGGTCAGTATTAACTGAAAGGGTTTAATTGTACCTTATGTGTGCAGCAGCACTTGCTAGTCTCAAGGTTTGATAGCTCGAGCTATGCTTTTTAAGGGACAGGAGTGCCATGTCATAGAACCTAGGCAGCCTTTGAAAAGGATGACACCATACAGCCTGTACAATCCTATTCTGGAAGCGATTCCATCACATTTGAGTTGAGCTGGTGGGACCAGGCTCACACAACTTAAAGTCTTTTTGTATACGTTCTCTAGTTGTGATCAGTGAGAATTTTCTCAGCTAGTTACAGCTAGCATTTTGGTAACTAGAGCACAGTAACCACTGCCAACACCACAGTATTAATTTCACTTATTTAAACATTTGGTCGTTTGTTTGAGGTTTGGTTTTTTTGGTGTGGTTTTGTTGTGGTTTTTTTTTTTATGGGAAGAATACTCTGAAATATTGGTGCCTTGATGATGATGAAGAACCATCTCTTGCTGTCTGGTTTTGCCATGTTACCTGTGTTAAATGCCTGCACAGGGAATTGACTGGAGTTCATCAGGAGATTATAACTTTTTTTCAGGCTGGTGGCAGTGCATGGTTGACTTGTCCTGACTCAGTACTTGGCTCAGGTTTACAACTTTGCCATTATTTACCAGAAGATGAACATGGAAGTTTGCACTGCAGCAATGTTCCAGAGTTACGTGCTTACGTCTGTAACATTGAGCATCTTGCATTTTGAATGCAGTCCTAGTCAAATCCAATGGTGTACAACTTCATGACCTCTAGTGATCTATCTGTTCAATGACTTGACCTTGTGGACTGTATCAGCTTCATTTGTAGCTAGCGTGGAAAACTCTCACTTGTTACAGCAAGGCAGAGGTGCATAATTGCTCAACAACTCCCAGAAGAAACAAAACCCATTTCTTTCTGTACCTTACACTGTTTCCTATCAAACAGCAAGCATGCATCCAAGTGCCTCTCCTATATCAGCTTTAGCTCTTAAACAATACTGGGATGGTCTGCCTAGAGAACTGTTGTTGCCTTATATTCAGCACCATTGGTCAAATGAGGTTTCTGACCATACCACAACAAAACCAAGAAGAGTAAGGGGGAAAACCATGGGTGCAAATTTGGACTTTCCTACCATGTAGTAAAGCTCTTTTGTGGCATCAAAGGCATTTTCCTTACTTAAAGTCAATTTTTGTTTTGTTTTTCTGCCAGTATATATGAAGAGAAAATGTCCATCTCCACTCATCTCCCTTTTTCTCTTTTCATCCAGAGGGACGGGCCTGTGCCGTTGTGTTTGACTGCAAATTCATCGAGACCTCAGCTGCTCTTCATCATAATGTCAAGGACCTGTTTGAAGGTATCGTTCGGCAAATTAGACTTCGCAAAGACAGTAAAGAAGACAATGCTAGGAGAATGGCCAACACAAAAAGAAGAGAAAGCATAGGCAAAAAGGCGAAGCGATTCCTTGGGAGAATTGTGGCAAAGAACAATAAGAAGATGGCTTTCAAAGCAAAATCAAAGTCTTGCCATGACTTATCTGTGCTGTAGAAGCTTTCAGCAAGGCCAGATGTTGCACGTGGGTGATGAACAAGCATTTGACTGTTATGAGAAGTGTATAGATGATCCTCATGGTGATAACAAGAATGACTTATCAATTGAGACTCTCATTAATGCCTTAAGGTGCGCAAGCAAGTCCGGAAGTTACACTACAATGTCTGCTTCATTGATAAATGGTTTAAGTTTCAATGTGTGCAAGTAAATGAATTAACTTTAAATAAGTGGCTTGACATGCCGACATTTTCACTGTGTACATATGTTATATATCCTCTTGTCCTGTGGATACCAGAGATGCAAAGATAAGAAAGGATGATGATAAGTATCACCATAGACTTGTCTCGTTTGCAGAGCAAAACTTAAACTTGTACGCAGGCTCGTACACTCTTTTTAGTATAAAGGAAGCAATGATAAATCTTTTTAAACTTAAATGTGGGGAGAGGGGAGTAGAACCACATTAGAATGGGAGAAAACAAATTATATATATATAGTTAAATACAGAACAGATATAATTTTACGAAGTTAATTTGCACTTCCATTAACCGTTATTCAATTAATTTGTTACTTGTTTACATGCAGATTTTATAATAAAGTATTATTTCCTGTTATAATAAACTGTGCTTTTCTCATAGTATGGATAAAGAATGAGAGAGCAGTATTTTTATACTGACCTTTTTTCACTGTACAAAATGTTATACACAGACTATGCAGATTTACACATGATAAAGTTCTGGAACATGATGAATCAGGAATATCCTGTGTCCTTTCCTTCAAGAGACAGTTTCTTTAAGAAGCAAACTCTGCTTTTATGAACACCCTACTTCAACAGCTCATATGGGGAAGGGGTGCCTTGACCCTTCATATTATTGTTCATCTTCAACCTGGTTCTCATCAGCTCTGGCAGGAACAGGCCTCTATACAATTCCTTTAGGTAGATAGATGTCTTATGTCTATACTGATAAACTGAAGCCTGTAATGTTCTACTTTTTAAGATAGATCTGTGGCTTGAAGATCTGTGTTACAGCCAATAAGCAAATGTGGGGGTTTGGGTTTTGTTTTGGGTTTTTTTTTTTTTTTTTCTTTTCTGGGAGCAGTATAATTTTCTAATCTACTCACAAGCCTGTAGATACCTTTCAGTGGTTTCAAGAAGTTCAAAGCAGGCTGGCAAGGCTGTTTGAAAGAATTGTAGGCTTCAGTTGTGGTGTATGGTGGCCTTCAGTGCTGTTAAGTTTTCATGTTCATTTTACTGTGTTATAATTAATGTGTTTCCATGATTTTTCCCTATTTGCTATTCATGAAGTTAAAAGCAATCACGTCTCGGTGAAAAACTTGGACTTACTGCATTTGCTTTATAAATTGCTCTTCATAGGATAAATTCTCTTTAAATTAATCCATAAATGCACTTCTCAAAAATAGTAAAAAATATGCTCTTCTCTTTCTACTGTCCCTACCTGAGTCCAGTTCTTTAGAGAACCTTACATTGAGCTTGCCTGAGCTTGAGCAGACAACTCCCCATTGGGTTAGCCCAGTGCTTGGGCACTCGTCAGGGAACAGTTAGCACTGGGGAAAATCGCATCTGATTTGCATAGGTAATGCTCTGTAGAATTAGCGTCTCCTGATGTGCTGCTAGTGGACCTAACTGGTTAAATGCACAGTTTCACATATGCTGTGGGTAACAGGTCACATTTCTTACAAAGAGAGGTGTTTACTTTGTGTCCTAAATGAAGTCTAAAGTGAGTAATTCTGTCCTGCTGCCAAAACTCACATTTACCTGATGATACATTTTGATTTGATTTGGCTTTTTTTCCACTAGCCTTGCTTCCTGGCAAACTATCACCTTTAGAACATCTAACCATTGTCTGAGTATGGCACCAGGTGTCTATTTACATGCAAGCTTTTAACTGTCAACACCAAAGCAATTGCTCTAGTCCTGAAAACTCTACAGCAAGAGTGTCTGAATTCACATGCATAAATTTGGCACATACCTATTCATGCACATGCTAAAGTTACTGACAAAACTACATGATGTTCCCTGTACGTTTGCAAAGCTTCTGTCTTTCGGTGGCCCTCCGCTTTCAGAATGACCAGGAGAGGACTGACATGTTTGATTGACTTGCGAGATTTAATTCTGTCCATAATAAATACAAGGAATGGGATGCAAACCCAGAGTTTAAGATACGCATTTCACAAAGCGCAAAAGGTTACAAAGATGTGTCACTCTTAATGCTGCAACATAACTGCAGCTGCAAAGCCTCTTCAAGGTCATGGTTAACAGCTGTGCTTTTTGCACACTCTGATCTACAAATCAGATGTTTTACTGTGTTCATGAATTCAAAGGTTAGGTTTGGACAACTCTTAAGCCTAAAATATTTCTGAGGTGCTGTAGCACATTGCTAGAGTTCATTTAAACTGTAGAAAATAATTTGTATTTTGAAAGTATGTCATATAGGACACTGTGAGACAATAAACTGTGAATCACTCTAAAGAAACTTGGGCTAATCTATAATGTATTCTATCAGTTAATACTGTATAATAAAATACTTATTCAAATCCTCATTATACTAATTTTTTCATTCATTTGTTTGTACAGGGATTAGCATAATTCAGCCACGGTTCATGAAAAGGGGGAGGATTTGTTGTTATTGCAGCTCTGACAATAACCTGCTCTAGACCAAGATCATATCCTATGCTATAGAAGTATTACCATGAATACTATTTTGCAGAGATTTTGTAGCTCCTGGAAGATTTTCTACCCAGAAAAAAATTAATTTCTTGGATGTCATTTAGTGGAATTTCCAAGCAGACTTTTTGGAAGTACATGTGCAACTCCAGCTATAAGTCAGTAACAGGCACCTAACTGACAAATGCCTCTAAAAATCAACCTTCTTCAAAAGGTTATTTGTATCCTCAAGCATTTGAAAGTCATCTATAGGTTTTTGTAATTTGAGATGTTTTATTGGTATGGATACTCAGATTCTTGTCATTAATGGGGTGAATCTATGTCATGTGAAAAATAGTGAGTCCCAGACAGCAATATTTTCTCTAATTATTACCAGAGTAGAAGAGAGTGTAAGGACTAACAGTGGTGTGAGTTTTCTTATTTTTTACCAATGTACATCAATTTTAATTTGGAGGGACAGTTCACACAGTCATTTAATCTTTACTGCCTTCACTGCTGCTGCCAGCTGAAGTTCCTATTACTGCTAATTGTGGTGGTGGATTTTGTGTTGGCACAAATCCATTTGGAACAGCTAGTTATTAACAACTACAGTGGAAGGACATTGCCTTTTATATGTGACACATATGTTAGGTAAACAAATCAAAGCCTCCTCTGCTTGCTATTGCTAAACTAGCTCCTGTAAATTCTTCACCATATGAAAAATGTGAAGAAAATCATTCCTCCATCTGCCAAAACCACAAAGCGTAAATTCACATCACATAAATATAGACGAAATGTTAACTGCTGAGGGAAGACTTAGCATCACCAAAAATGTAATTTTACTCATGTATTTTCTCAAAATAGGACTAGAAAAAACAGGGCATGATCTACATAGTAACATTACATAACATCACTGTTCTTTACTGAAAAGGAAAGTATAGTGAGTTGACAGTGATTAAGAATCCAGTGTATGATAAAAGATTGCTAAGATGTAATCTAAAAGAAGTGGGATAATACTTACATTATGCTGAAATTTGCTTTAGTACTCTTAATTTTATTCAGAGACAATGTACAGGTTTAATTGCATGCACATCACAGACACCTCACTGAATCTGCAGTCGCAGTCAAAGGTGATGTCTGTGCATTCCAGGACCACCATTTAATTTATAATTTACCACATGATCTCTAGCATTATAATGGACAAATTGACTCCCTCTTTGCATAAAGGAACATCTGAACTCCAATACTATTGAAGTTATTAATTTCTAAAAATTGAAATAGTAAATTATGCCAACTGTCCTTGTGCTCTATGACATGGATGTTGAACAGAGAAGTAAAAGATAAAAAGAGAGAACAAATGCCCATTGCTTATCTGCAAAGAAGATTTCTCTAACCTACCATTCAGAATCCAAGGGGGAACAACATTGTTTAACTTAAAAATGTACTATGGATTCTAGCACTAGAAGGTAGGAAGCAGGCTAAGAAATTTACTTCAACACTGAGTTCTTCACCAACAAAATAGTATGGATTATGTACCACAAAAATGTTGCGGCCACAGGGTAAAATGGGCAGTGTATATTCTAAAGACTCTCCTCTCTCTTGTTATCTCCCCCCCGCCCTTTTTTTTTTCCTATTTATAAATGTGCTGTCTGAATGAATCATTGGAAACCAATTAGAAGTCTACAGATTTTTTTTCTAATACTTCCCATATTTATCACAGGAGCTGAAGGAAATATTAATCTGAACTAAAATTTAGCAGATTCAGAGACTGAGACAAATAGAATACATTTGAAAATATTGTCTCACACCCCTAAAAAAGTTTCTCTAAGGTCCAAAACAGGGGCTGGAGAAAGGACAGGATTTGGAGAGCAAGTGCTCCTGCTCCAAATAGTCTAGTCAGACCCATAAAAATCTCCTCAGCTTGTTTCTGGCAGTAAGTCCCACTTTCATCAGCCTCATTACACTAGCATAAATAATTACACTACTGTTAGGCTTGCAGTCCCACTGAAGGTTGTGACCCTTACTTTGGGAATGACAGTTTTCAGTTCAGTAGATGCCTTGGCAGAAGAACAGTAATTTTTATCACATCTAAATTGGATTATTGTAATGCATTATGCTTAACAAAGCTTTCAAGAGCTCCAGGTAGTAGGAAATATAGCCATGTTAATTAAGCTGGCTAGGTCAAAATGAGCACATAACTTCTGTGCTCAGCCCTAGTTCCCATACAATTTTAGTTAAAGTGATGATCTAGAAAAGCAGTAATTGGACATTGACTAATGTTGAAAATGCTTCGCTTTGTTGCATGTTTCTTGGCTGGCTACAAAGCTTGTTGAACTCGCTATAAAGTCAGCAGCATTGCTTGATTTTGGACTGCTCAACAAGAACAATCTTTGCATTTCTAATTGCAGGTATTCAGGTATCTTATTACAGGTATTGAGGCCACAAGAGTTTAGTGCATTTGGCACTGCAATGGTAACTGCACGAGATCATGTCCTATTTTGTTACTCTTGCAGATCAAGGATGCAAAAAGCATAAAGCAACAGAAATACATCTTAACTGAACTAGAACATATGGTGAATTTTAAAACCGTGCCAACTTGCATCAGCTCCACTTCATTACAGGCCTGCCATTGGAATTTATTGAGGAGTGTTCACCAACCTTCTTCAAAGAAAAGAATAACGTAACTCTCTTTGGGTATCAGCCAGGTGCTGAATAACTTTCTCACAGATTTTTCAGCTACGGGTATCTCAGTTGTAGGGCTTCTTTGTCACACGCTTTTCATGTCAACTTCAATTTTATCTTTCCAACCTCCACTGTTACACATTGTCACCCTTGCAGCAGTGGCTCAGCAGTATGGTGGGAACGGGAAAGTGGCACTCCTCTGCTGCTGCATGACTTACTGAAAAACATTAGCTGTCAACAGTTGTAACATGAACCTGGTCCCCCAGCTCATTGC